AAAAAAGAAGACATTTCTAGGAGGCCGGGGATTTAGCTCAGTGGCACCATGCCTGCCTCGTAAGTGCAAGGTCCTGAGTTCCATCTCCGGCACTGAAAAGACAAAACAAAAAGTGGATTAAAAAAAAAGGACATTTATTTTCTTTCTTTCTTTCTTTCTTTCTTTCTTTCTTTCTTTCAGTACTGGGGATCAAACTCAAGACCTCGTGCTTGTGAAGCAGACGTGGCACCACTGCACTAAATTCCAGGTCCAAAAAAGACATGTTTTTTAACACCAGTAAATCTTTTTTATAATACAGGGGAAAAAGACATTTCTTAATACATATTTTATAAGGTTCAGTAATTCATATTAATTGGAGTCTGATTTATATTGCCAAAAAGAATGGCAAAGTATCGCCTGATGTATGGAATATCCTTAAACGTTCCGCCATCTCCTCTTAATAAATTGATAATAATGGCTAATGTTATTAGTATTTTTAAATTGGACTAAGACTTTTATAAATTGCATGTATTTATAAGAACTTAATTGTGTCAGGAGCATTATTATCTCGATTTATAGTTGAGAGAACTAAAACTGCAGATATTGAGCTGTTTAAGGTCACATGACTAATAAACAGGAAAAGCTGCCGAGTCCCCACTGTTAATCATCACCTTAGCCACAGGCTCTAACATGTTTGGTGAACTTCAGTTACACCAAAGGAAACAGCTAAAATAGACAAAATATTTTTACATGGATGGATGACTGTTTCTAAAATTTTGTTTGTTTGTTTGTTTTTGAGACAAAGGGTCTCACTATGTAGTTGAGACTGACCTGGAACTCACTATGTAGCCCACGTTGGTCTCGAACTCAACAGAGACCCTCCTCCCTCAGCCTCCCGAGTGTGGGGATTACAGGTGTGTGCCACCATGCCTGGATAAAATGTTTGTAATTTGTCTCTTGAAGTGGGATGGCCAGACTGTGCAAGGTTGTTTCTACTGTTAATGAATGAGTTGTAAGAAGGGAACAAGAGGGCTGTTATGAAGGGTTTCAGATGGCACCTGGCACGGAGAAAGACCTGCATAACTGTTCAGTGCCTTATTGATAGAATTACAGGCATGGGCATCAGAAATGTCTGGGCTTGGTGCCCATTTATCAGAATCCTCTTTGAGGTTGTTTCCTCTTCTGTCAAGAGAGCATAACAACCACTGCCTCAAAGTCACTGTAGGAAGAAATGTGACAAGGTCTTTCCACACTGGGTAACTTAATCACCCTCAGCCACTAAGTTCCATATGTGACAGGAAATAGCAAGAATATGTTCTTAATATAGGTTTACATTTTCCCCACCCAGGCTAAATTGCCCAAAACTCTGAATTACTCAAACAGGAATTGAGAAAGATTTACTGCACCCACTTCTTTGGAATGGGGTAAGGATGCCACATTTAGCCCAGGTGTTCTACATGAGTTCAGTTTTGAAAATGCTCCCACCCATAAATCCTTCAAGGTCAAGCTGAATTTACTGGACAGAGAGAGCACTGAAGTGGAAGCCAGAGCAGCTGGATTCTGATCCCAGCTACCCTCAGAGGAACCACTCCAACTCAAATCCAGTGAAAAGGCCCCCCCATCCCCAGCTCAGCTCCACTGCCCCAGTCATCAGGTGGGCACTCTCACCTCTTAACCCCGTGAGGGACTCTATCAGAAGGCAATTAATCCTCTGACTGCCTAGAAAGGAGTGCGGTGAAAGCTAAAGAAATACAGAAACACAGTTTCATAATATATGGGGGGAGGGTTATAATGCATGGGGTCAGAGCCTCAGAGTGGGCAAAGACAAAGAGACTCCCAAGCCAGCCATTATTTATTGGGTACACACAATAACTGGAGGGAGCATCAGGTGACTTAGTGGGTGTCGGTAATCCTATGTTGTTTGTTTGGTACCAGAGATTGAACTTGGGACCTTGTGCTTGTGAGGCAGGCAGTGGAAACGCTGAGCTAAATCCTCAGCCTGGTAATCCTATGTTGATAAGGATCTTAGGTTGATGAGGATCTTAGGTCACTGAGGATCTTATGTTGATGAGGTCTGTAAGGAGAACATTCTTACAGTGGTAGGTGGGATGAGATAGCTGGCTAATTAGGAATTTGTCCTTCTTCCAGGTGAAACCTTTCTCTTTTTTTATTACTACTCCATTCTCAAAGAACCAGAATGTCTTCTGCTGATGTACTCTTGCCCTTGAGCGGCACAGTATCATGGACCACTGAGGCCTCAACTTGTGACCTGAGGCAAAATAGAGTTATGTTTCTGCATGCCACAGCCAGCTCCCAGGCAAGGAGAATTTGGGCCTTAGACAGCTATAGGCATACTTTAATTATTTCTTGTGGTCCCTTGCTATTTTTTTAAATTAATTTATTTTATTGGTACATTGAAGGTATACAATGTAATGACATTCATCATTGGAAATTTGCACCTTTACATAATCCATCTTGGTTCTTATTTTTTCCCCATTCCCCTGCCCTCCCTTCAACCCCTCCACCCCTCCCCATCTACAAAGACTTTGTTTCCATTTTTTTCTTTTCCTCATGTGAATTCCATTCCCATCTTTCTTTTCCCCCTATCCCTCCCACTTCCCCTTCCCCTTTGCAGCTTTTCTTCTTATGTTCCTTGCTATTTTTAAGGAATCTCTCTTTCAATGATCACTAGCCACAATCCTGTCTTCTCTATCTGATATTCTGTCCTCACAGTGGCTCATTCTGCTGCCTATACTTTCAGTGGTGTTCTTAATCTCCTGGATATCTGTCCGAATCTGCTTTATGGATGCTCTTTCTTTCCTGTGCTGGGATTCATGGCTCCCATCATGTTCCTGAGCTTCTCTATTTTTTTAAAATCTGTATCTGCTCCAGAGTCACTCAACATGTCTTTTATTCTGGTCACCATCTCTGTAGTTACCTGAGAAATTATTTCTGCTTTGATTTTTTTTCTAGAGCCTTGTTTATCCGCTTTTTTTACTTCTGCTGTTACCACTTGAGAGTCCAGATGGGTGGCTTTGGGACTGTTCTACCCCCACTGCCCCCAGGTTTTTCCTTTGGTGAGTCCGGGGGTGTTGCATCTTGTTTAAGTGTCTTCTCGTTTTCTATTATTTTTTAAGTTTGATTCCTGGATTGATGCTTATAAATTGTTTATGGCAAGTAGCTTATTGCCAGTATTCAGAACCCTTAGTAAATGACTGCTAGTCAGAAGAGTCTTCCACGTGTAGCTGGCTTTTAGGTTCTGAGTCTGCTGCAGGATCCTAACTCTTCAATTTATTGAGGATGAAAAGTTTCTGCCTACTTGGCCCAGCCAGCAGTTCTTTGGCATTGACCTATAGGGTTTTGTTTTTTTTTTAAAGACCCTTAGGCAATCTCAGTCTTTGTATACCAGGAGAAACAACCTATTAGCACCATTATGTCACCTTGGCTAAAGTAGTACAATCAACAATAACAGTGAACCAGGGATTTAGCTCAGTGGTGCTGCTGCCTGCCTTGCAAGTGCAAGGTCCTGAGTTCAACTTCTGGTACCAAAAAAAAAAAAAAAGAGCAATTAAACAATCAATAACAAGAGCATCAAATACAGCCTAGAAAATGACAAACTCTGGTAACTATTAATTTACTACCTTTAACTATATGGATTAGATTTGTGGTTATATAATGAAATCTAGAATGAATCTAAAATTGTATGCAATATATTAGCCCTTAATATGGGGAAAAGATTGAACAGGGGTTGAGGGAAGAAAACAGAAATAGAAAAGGAAGGCAGGAGGGCAAACTTCAGGAAACTAGTGAAGAAGACAGGTGGGAAGGAAAAAGGAATAAATGAAAACCAGAACAGAACAACAACAACAAAAACTAGGAACCATGTTCAAACAATCAAGACAAAACAAAACAATACCCAGAAAGCGGGGAGGGAGAAAAAAGTAAAGGAAAAATGAAGGAAAAAAAAATTCAAGGTGTGTCTCTTTTGTCACTGGTAGGCAACGTAGGCAAATAGAATCCAGAGCTGAACTGATTAATCCCAGCAAGTCAGCTGCAGTTTCATGGTGGGGTAGTAGACAATCTCTGAAGCACAGGCCAGTTAGTCATATTTTAATTATGAAATTACTTTTCCCAAAGATTATGTAGAATGGCTTTCGACAGGACTCTATGTCCAGAGGACCCTCCTCAGTAAAACACTTTGTGAAAAACACCCTTCCATGGGTGAGAGAAAGGAGATAAAATCAGGCATGGGCAGGAACTTGGGCTCAGGGGAGACCCAATGTCTCTGATCCTGTCCTGACTGCCCCATTGCACTCCAAAGCAGCAACTTCCTGGTCTCTGGGAAGAACCCTAGCCCAGGAGGTAAAGCTGATTGTGCCAACAGAGGAAGAGGTTATTTTATTTTTTAAATTGAGTTTATTGGAACATTTTAGGTATACAGTGCATTTACATTCATTATTGGGATCTTGTGCCTTTACATGACAGGTCTTGGTTCTCATTTTTTCCCCTTGTCCCTCCTCCCCTCCTCCCCTCCCTGTTTACAAACACTTCATTTCCATTTTTTTTTTCATTTTCTTGGGTTTTTTTCTTTTCCCTTATTCCCTTTCCCCTACCCTTCCCACTTTCCCTACACCTTTAGCCCTTTCCTTCCTATTTCACATTGTCAATTAGCTCATTGGGATCTTATGTACTATTATAGTTTTTCACACCAGGGAAATTATTCGGTATTTGCACATGTGTGACTTAATTATTTCACTTAGGAGTATATCCTCAAAAGGTACCCATTTTCCTGTGAATTGGAAGAGGTTATTTTAAACCTTGGTACTTGGGCAGAGGGGATGAGCTCAACCTAGTTGGGAGAGCAGTGAGTAAACCTAAATTTCCAGAGGAAATTTCAGTTTTCGTTTTGAGCAATTCACAGTGCTTGGCTGCTTTTTCAGAAACTCCCCCTTGAGGGGGCGCTCCCTCACTGGTCCTGGCTCCTTATAAAGAGGAGCTGCAGGAGATCCCTGCCCAGGATCCGGAGACAGCATCTGTGTCTGCCACAGCCCCTACCTGCAAGTACCATGAAGGTCTCCGCAGCTGCCCTCTCTGTCATCCTCACCGCTGCCGCCCTCTGCGCTCCTGCATCTGCCTCCCCATGTAAGTCCAGGTCTGGCCACCACCGCCCATGGAGTTGGCTGACCTTCTGCCTAGAACGCCCACCCGTCCTGCCGTGTCACACCTTGCTCCCTTTTCCACTGTACCATTTATGCTGTCTGAACCCCATTTTTCCATTCTCGTGTGCTGTTTCACCCAAATGTCCTGTTGACCCTGATAGATCTCTAAGCTGCTTCGTGTCAGGGGACCTCGCCCCCATTTTTTCTGTATCTCCAAGGTCCATACTCCTGAGCTCTGCAGGTGATCACTGAGTGTGGACTGAAGCTGGGAATATTACTGAACTTGAAAAGCAACTGACGCATTACCTGTCACCAGCAGGGTCTCTAAGCAACTTCTAAACTTATAGTGAAATCCTCCTAAAACAGCCATATTCTTTTTTTGGTACCGGGGATTGAACTCGGGTCGTTGCGCTCGCAAGGCACACGGCAGAACCGCTGAGCTAAATCCCCGGCCCCCAGCCATATTCTCTTAATTCATAGATGGAAAAAAAAATGGAGCTTATTAACGTAGAAGCTAATTAAATGCCTATTATGGATCAGGCTTTGCGCTGGCTGCCTTACATATGCCATCTTATTTAACACAACTATTCTTTGAGTAGTTGCTTTTGACTTACAGACAGGGAAACAGAGGTCCAGAGAGGTTTAGTAATTTGCCTAGGGACACACAGCCAGGGGTGGTGGCACTCAAACCAGTTCTGGCTGGGAAGGGGCAACTGATGTTTCCAGTAGCCTCTTGAATTATTTGACCAACAAATGTGTTCCTGTTCAATTTCCTTCTCACTGCAGTGCGGTGAGAGTTCCCAGGAGACAATATGCACCTTTGGGCCCTGCTTAGTATCCTGGCCAAGCCATGGAGCCTCAATTCTGGAAGCCCCCTCACAGCCTCCCCTGTGTCACAAAGGGGATCCTGAAAGAGCAAGAGTGAGGGCGGAGGGCCCAGGACAGGAAGGAGGAGGCCCGGCACAACCCATGGGCAGGGCTTATGGGGTAGAGGAAGGATACAAGCTTAGCTCCAGGGTTACATGGGAGGTTGAGGAGATTCTCTTGGGTTTCTTCTGTTGGAATCCTCACTCTGCCACTGTGTGTCTATGGTCAAGCGACTGTCTCTCTGTGCCTCAGTTTCTGCCAGTGTGGATAAAAGTCCCTCCAAGATAAATCACAAAAGCACCCAGCGCAATGCCCACTGTCACCGGCAGTAAGTGCTCAGATCTTCCTTCCTTTTCTCCTCCTCCCAGATGCCTCGGACACCACTCCTTGCTGCTTTGCCTACATCTCCCGGCCTCTGCCCCGCAACCACATCGCGGAATATTTCTACACCAGCGGCAAGTGCTCCAGCTCAGCAGTTGTGTGAGTCTCGGCCCCATGGATTCCTGGGGGCAGGGGAGGTCCTCTCTGGCTCCCAGAGCCAGTCCTTCCCCAGGAGCCCTGTGAGGTGCCCTACCCACGCCTACCCGTTCTCCAGCTACTCAAATCACCACGGCTCCTCCGTCCCTAGCCTCAGGGTCTCCCTCTACAATGTAAAGGGGCTGGACAGGTGTCCTGGGAGGATCCTGCCCATTCCAGGAGACCAGGACCCTAGGACTCAGTCTTGGCCAGAGTGGCTTTACTTGAACACCCTTCCTAGTTAAGAACCCTACAGTCCTCATATTCCACACTCAACCAAACCCACCTAAACCTCAGAAGAATTAGCGAGGCAAACCCAGGACCTAACTGCGATCAAGTAAAACAAACCACACATCCACTTGAGGAGAAAATGAGATTCATCTTTAAATATTCAAGACAATATATCTGGGCAAACATAGTAATATACATAAAAAGTGTAAGGGGCTGGCTATTTAGCTCAGTGGTTCCACAGCCAGCCTCATAAGCTCAAGGACCCGAGTTTGATCCCTGGTACAAAAAAAAAAAAAGTGTCAATAGTCCTGTCAGGTATGCACAATCTTCTCTGTGACTCCACTGACTACAGTGAGACCCAGAGAGGTTTGCTGATTTATCAGAAGGCTCAGCAAGTGAGAGATGGAGTCTGTTTCTAGAGCCTTCTCTCTGCATTATAGAGCAAATTCATTCATGACAGTTACTTAAGAAAGAGAGCTGGAGAACAAAATGGTGTGATCATGAAGTTTCCTATAAAAAGGCTGAAGTTTTTTTAATCCAAAATCTTTCATGACATTAGCAAAGTTATAGGTATTCAAAAATGAATACCTGATGAATCACTCAAAGTATAGTGATAATATTTAGTATTGCTTTTTTTTTTTTCAGTACTGGGAATTGAACCCTTGACCTTTTATTGAGCCACATCCCCACTGCTCCCCTCACTTTTTTCTTGTTTTGTTTTGTTTTTCATTTTGAGTTCTTGCTAAGTCACTAAATTGCCCAAACTTGCAAGACTCCTACCTCAGCCTCTCGGAGTGCTGAGATGACTGGCGTGCACCCAGCCTACTAATTGCATTTCTAAAAATAAATATTTTAAAAGAAAATATCCTTCTATGAGTACCTACTATGGGCAGACAGAGATGACTAAAACCACCATTCCATTCACAATCTAACAACAGGAACCTGACAGACACATAATGACCACAGTACCCTGCAAAAGAACATTACCAAAGGAAGAGACAGGGCACATCCAACTTCTGGAGTGAGGAAGGGGGACTTAGAGGAGGTTTTGCAAAAGGTGCTTTGTGAGGAGAGATTTGGACCAGCAGAGAAAGGCCTAGGGGTGGGGTTTACTAAGCAGAGAATGTCTCTGGGAGTCTGGTTTGTGTCGAATCTTGATGCAGGAAGCACAGAGAGCCTTGCAGAAAAAAAAATCAGCAAAAGCACAGAGCTATCAAGCATAAAACGAGCTGGAACAAGGAAAGTCTAGAAAATAGGGGTCCAATTAAGGGGCTGCTATACTTACCCACATGCATAGTATCGGGAGCTCTGTGGTGCCTGGAGGAAAGGAGAGACAAGGGTGAGGCATCTTGAGAGGCGAGATCAGCCAGGCAAAGGGAGAAAGGGAGAGAGGACAATGCTGAGATTTTAGGCAACATGGCTGCTGAGGTGGGAAACCACCCAAACTTGAGGATGAGCTGTGTTTAAAGGGGAAGAAGCCAGATGGACAGTTAGAGGCCCTCCTGGGCTTAGTGAGACCTTTCTCATAAAAGAGGTAGAAGGAAGAAGAGGAGAGCTGGAAGAGGATGAGGAGAGGAGGAGAGGGAAAGGAAAAAGAGCAGGAGGAGGAAGCCACCAAGTTGTCACCCGAACAACCATGTGGAAATGACGTTTTCTTGTAAGAGGAAGGGCCTTCCAATAACAAGGAGGTCAGGTTGCAGTCTTGCTGCACGCCAGCTCTAGAGTTAGTCTGCCACGTTTGAACCCCAGCCAAGCCACTTGGTAAGCTTGGTCCCCCTCATTCACCCTCTCTAAGCCTCAACTTCCTCATCCAAAATTAGATACAGAAGCACTTCCCTCATTGGGTCACAGAGGGAATAATAAAATGCTTAGATTATTCCCTGGCAGCCAGTCAATGTTAACTTATCATAATCATCATATAAATGTCTTATTACATACATAGAAGTGATGGGTGAAATTTATTGAATAAACATCCATTAAGCAGGCTTATCAAGCCTGGGTCCAGAGACCTGGGAAAGAACACAGCAAAGAGAAAAAGAAAACTAGTGTGGTGCCTCACACCTATAATCCCAGCACTCTGGGAGGCTGAAGCAGGAAGATCACAAGTTCAAATCATCTTAGAACTTGGTGGAGACTCTGTATTGAAAAACCAAGGGGAGGGGAGAGAGAGAGGCTGACTTGAGAACCCCTACTCTTAAGGAGAAGGTAGAAGGAAGGAATTCAGGCAAGTGGGAGGAAGACTTGACAAGGGCAGTCTGCTCTTTGGTACCGTATCTGCAGGGAGGAGGAAATGGAGTCCTGAGCACTCCTCATCTCACATGTTGGTTTCCTGGGCTTTGACTTCCTGTCTACAGACCAAGGGTACTAAGGACAGAGGCACGCAGTCTTAGGATTTCTTATTCCTGCCTGAACAAGGAGGAAGGACAAGGTCTATGTTAAAAGCTCCCAAACCCTTCCAAGTAAGAAAAAAACAAAAAAACCAAACACTAGGAGGCACCAGAGCCCTTCTGATCCCTTTTCATCTCTGCACACCAAGGCAGAAGATAGTCAAATAGCTCTCACAGTAGTAAATGCAGCTCGCTAAGAGGAAACTGTCCGTGTGAGGCGCAAAAAGCAATGGAAAAATCCTCACTCACACCAGGCAAACTATGCCTTCACCTTGCCTGAAAAAATCTGAGCTCAAGAACATGCAGGATATTATATATGCCTAAAACGTACCAATAAATGTTTTGCTATTAAAAAAATAATAACATGCAGGATAAACTTAACAATAGTTATGAGGATAAATTTTATTGTTAATTTTACCACTTTTTAAAAGCTTATTTAAATGCTGTTAGACACAGAATCAGAACTACACAAGTTTAATGTCTCTGACAGATACACTGATATATGCATAAAGAATGAAAATACCAAAGATATCTTATTTTAAATATTGAAATGAGGTTAAGTACATATTACCTCAGAACATATGTGAGCATAATACTCCAATGTAGACAGTACTTCTTTTTTTTTTTTTTTTTTTTTGAGACAGGCTCTCACTGAGTTCAGTCTGGCCTTGAACTTATTATGTAGCCCAGACCTTGAACTCACAGCAATGCTCCTGTCTCAGCCTCCCAAGTGCTGGGATTACAGGTATGCACTACCATGCCCAGCTTATATTTTAAAAATATGACCATAATTTAATCTGCTATAGTTCTGTGCTGTACCAACTATCAAAGGCTCTACTATGATCATAATTTTTCTTTTTTTTTTTTGGTTTTTTGAGACAGGATCTCACTATGTAGTTGAGACTGACCTGGAACTCATTATGTAGCCCAGGGTGGTCTCAAACTTACAGCAATCCTCCTGCCTCAGCCTCCTGAGTGCTGAGATTACAGGCGTGCACCACCATGCCCGGCTATATCACAATTTTACAACTAAGGCTGAAACATAAATTCCCTGAGTTGTTGGGGACATATAACTCTTTTGTCAGTCCATATAATTTTGTGGATACACTTTTGCGTCTCAATAGAATTTGTGTGTGTGTGTGTGTGTGTTTGTGTGTGTGTGTGTGTGTGTGTGTGTGTGTGTGTGTGTGTGTGTGTGCTGGGGATCGAATTCAGGTCCTTGGGCTTGCAAGGCAGGTGGCAGAACCACCGAGCTAAATCTCTGGCCCAAGGCTCAATAGAATTTTAAAAATAAATTTCTAGACAGCTGCATAATAAATAGCTTCCATGAGAACCTCTAACATATTTAATTTGATATTCTAACATGTAAAATGAATGTTCAATTTTTTTAAAAATAATGATGTGTGTGGAATATAGCCTACCAAAGAAGCCAAATGAGAAAATGCCAAGTAGGCAGGGCTAACCCCGAAGTAGTGTGTTAAAGAAGGCACTGCTATCCAGCCCCACGATCTTCCCCAGTACCCCCCTAGACAGGCAAGGAAGCCGCTGGACTGACCCTCATGACTCCCAATTGTTAATGTGTCCAAGGCTGTGAAGCACTTTCACCATCAGTGCCTGCAGAGAGAAGGCCTCTGACTCTCACAGGCCTCCACATTTCGGCTGCTAAACTGCCCACATTTCAAGGCCTTCGACCTCTGTGAGCCATGATCTAGTACCAGGACCTTTGGTTTCATGTTGCTGCAGCTCACCCTAATGCAGAAATTTCACAGCATTCTGATAAGGACAATACATGTGGAGTATTATTCCAAACTCCTTCACACAGATCTGATTTGAGCTTCACAACAGTTGGGTAAAGTAGGAGTTCTTTTTATCCACAGCTTATCCATAGGCTGAGAAATGAAAGGCCCTCAGTGATTTGTCCACAGTGATCCAACTGACAAGAGGTGAACCCAAGACTCAAGTTATCTCCTTGCGTTCATCCACCCATGTATTCATGTGTCCATGTGTCCAGTGTCTGTTCTATGCTAGGCACTGTATTGTCTAAAGCCAGGCCATGCGTTCCTCCAACGACTTGTCACCCACTTTATCTGGTGAAGTTCCTAGGGGATATCTTTTTCCTCTGCGCTTGTTTTGCAGACAGGGTCTCAAAAAACCTCTCCGTGTAACTTAGACTGGCCTTAAACTCAGCATCCTCCTGCCTAATCGCCCGAGTATTGGGATTACAGACACCTGGCTCCTTCTCTCTGCATCTTGAGTGCCTGACACAGGGGCTGCAGCAGAGGAAACCCTGAGTGGTTAGGATCCAGATCCCCTTGGAATTCCTGGCTGCTTGTGTTTGTGTGGAGGTTAAAATGCACACAATTTTGCTTCTTGCTTGAAGCCTTTAGATTCAATAGAAATATCTGTCCCTAAAAAGAAATAAAATCTTATGGAGCACTAAAAATGTCCTTCCCCAGTAACACCATTTCCCCTTACGCCTCAAACCAAAACTGGCTGTCCCAGTGCTAACAGGTCTCAACCTCTTTTCCTCACCTACAGATTTGTTACCCGAAAGAACCGCCAGGTGTGTGCCAACCCAGAGAAGAAGTGGGTTCGAGAGTACATCAACTCTTTAGAGATGAGCTAGGAGAGGGAGCATCCCGAACCTGACGTGTAAACTCAGCTGTTGTGCCTCGCTCTAGTCTTAACCAGTTTAGGAAGCTTCTCAATTGCTACTCCCATTCATCCTTGGGAGGCATGGATTCTACTACAAAGCAGCAGTGATACAGCTTCTCCCACTTAAAGCCTAAAAGAGCTACTGTGGCCCTGCCTTAGCAATGGGAAATCTCTAGGCTCCCAGCTTCAGGCTTTTCACCTTTCCCACAGCTCTGGGACGAGGAAGGAAATCAGCATGCCGCTCAGGCCAAAGAAGCAAGACTGGACTCCCATAAGAATTTCCAGTGGCTAGTGTGCCCATCTCCAGCCCTCACAGTGGCTGACTGGCCAACATTAGACATCAGCCTTTCATTAAAATTCTCAGTGCAGTTACAAAGCTGGCTCCTGGTTTGATTTCTTCCTTGGGGACCCTCTTTTCCCATGAACATTAGACACGTGGAGGTTCAGGCATGCACACATCTGGTGTCCACTCTAGATTAGGACTTGTGGCCCTACCAAGTGAGCAGGGTTGGGAGCAAAAGCTCTCTGAGGAGGGGACATGGAAGGCAAGGTAGATAAAGTAACTAGTCATGGGGGCAGGGTAAGGGGATAGTCAGTATGCACCCCCCAAGTCCCCAAGAGTTCATCTATCTCCCTGCACAGCACCTCCATGTCCTCAGATTTTGTTTGGCCCTTCCACCTTAGCCTACCCTACACCTTGTCCCCAGTGGGTTTTTTGAACCCCACCTTTGTCCCACAACAGATTTAATGACAGTTCTAAAGGTCTTTCAAATAAGGAGAATGAGGCATTCTGTGGTTTTCACAACTGCACTGGCACCTTTTATGTGGGAGTATTCCAACTTTCCCATCTATGTGTGCCTTTGTGTGAACAGATACTGACCACAGATATGGTCCTAACTGGATGTATCACTAAGCACTCGCTACGTGGCAAAATCGGCACGGCCTCTTACATTCATCCTCCTTTCTCATTCTTGTAAGCTGATGGGGTAGGTACTATTTACACTATTTTCCTGTTTACTTGGCAAGTGGTGTATTATTTCCCCAAAACCTCATAGCCAAAAATGGGCAGGAAAGAAGTGTTTAAATTAAGATTCAAAGCCAACAGGTTTAATGCCAAAGCCCATACTTTATTTCCCATGTTTAATCTGCAAATTTCAAACTTACATATATTTACAAGAATATACCTATATAATCTTCATCCAGGTTCAAATATTAACATTTTCCCACTGTTCATGAGGTGGTGGGGAGTGATATATACATTTTCTGATTTTTTTCTGAATTTTTGGAAGCTGCAGTTGAGATTTCCTTTCAACTCTAAAAATTTCAGTATGTATCTCCTAATAACATGCTACATGACTAGAAAATGGGTAACACACTCAGAAAACTTAGCAAAAAGACACAATATTACTAATACACAACCCATCATCAAATTCCCCCAGTTGCCCCAACAAAGTCCTTTATAGCAGTTTTTTTTTTTTTAATTCAGGATTCAATTAAGTATACACATTGAATTTAGCTATTGGGCCTTCTTAGTGTCCTTTAACATACTTTTTGTCTGTAAATGTGTCGACATTTTTAGGAGTTCAAATCAGATTTTTGTCAAATGCTTCTTAATTTGGATTTGCCTAATTACTTCCACATAATCATATGCAGGTCAAACACTTTGGTGGGAAACCATTTGGGTGGTTTTGTCTTTCTCAATACATCCAGCAAAGTATATCATGTCAGCTCACTGGGAATGTGAAGGGTGCTGATTTAGTAGCCCGTGTGTTCTTGTCACAGTAAGCTACCTGCCAGGCACTGAGCTAGGCACTGAGCGGGGAGCAGGAGTGGGGAGACCACAACTGAGAGGTGAACAACCACACGTCACAGTCTTCACCTTTAGGAAACTCAGTCCGGTGAGGATGATGGCCCCATGGACATATAAAACATAGGACAAGCACTTAAAGGGAACCAACTGTACCAAAGGATATGGCCACATTGTGTGCAAGGGGGTGTGTTAGTTATGTTCTCTCATTGCTGAGACAAAATATTTGACACTCAAAGTTGAAAGGGAAAAGGTTTATTTGGCTTACAGTTTGTAGAGGTTTCAATTCATAATGGGCTGGCTCCAAGGCAGAGTGGCAAAGGGGGAACAGTTCATGGTGGTGAAAGCAGAAAAGGCAACAAGAGAACTTAACAATGACTTTCTGACACTTTTACCCCTTCCAGACTACCAGGATCAGAGCAGTGCAAAACCAATCACTCGTGTGGCTTGGTAATTACATGCCCTTAAGCCCACCATCACACACTCTAGATTCAGCCTCACCGTAAGACTGCATGAGGCTTTGGGGGGACATCTCATTGTGGCAGAGTAGAGCCACTCTGTGCTGTAGCCAAGTGTTACAGCTCAGTGTCACAGCTAGCTCAGAGGCATGCTGAGAGTCACAACTCTTGTGTTGCAGCCAAATGCCACAGCTCAGAGGCATAGCTGAGCTTTACGTATCAGTGTGGCAGCTCTGGAACACAGCTCTCATAATTTGAAGACTAGAGTATCTGATGGTTAGTTGAAGAGGTGGAGAAAGAAACTGTATTACACCAGTGAGCCACAGCAGGCTCAGACTCCTCTGAGTGCTTTACCACAAAAGAGAGCCTCCTTATAGAGGGAGCTACAGGGTAGGCGAGCATGCTCACTGAAGCAAAGGGGTGTAGTTACAGAACATTCCTGAAATACATTCAGTGTGAGGATGTCTCACTGAAGCAGGAGACTGGAATTACAGAACCTTCTTGTAAAGGGGCAGAGCGTAACAGAACATTCCTGAAAGGTCACACAATTCAAACAGTCACAAACCATTTTGAAACACTGGGCAGGAGCCCAGCAGCACAAACTTGCACATTTCCAAAACAAAACATTCTGTGGAAGAAAAACAACATAAAGGCGAGGCAAGGGCCTGTCTTACTGTATAGCATTTCTTTACCAATGCAGACACAAGCCACAATAGGGTTACATCACTGAGCAGGTGGGGCAGGGAACATGGGGAAAAAACAAAACTTCAGAGGTGAAATTAATTTATATGGAGTTTGAAAGATTTTAGTTAACAGTTTAACAGGTAGAAAAGGAAGAAAAGCTCTGGTAGGCAGAGGGAACAGCATATACAAAAGTAGGAGGTGTAAAAATCAGCTCCTTGCCATACATACAGTCTCTTGCTGCCAGAGGCGGTGAGTATATAAAAAAGGCTTTCCTATTCCCTGCCATTTTCTTTGTGTTTTTGTTTGTTTTGTTTTTTGGTACTGGAATCAAACTCGGGACCTTGCACTTGAGAAGCAGGCGATGGAACCACTGAGCTAAATCCCCAGCCCCCTGCCATTTTCTTGATTTGACTAATTCTAAGAAAAACCCTAAATGCTCTGACTTCTTTATTAATGTCTCACCACAACCCTGTAGTTAGCCAAGCAGGCATGACTCTCCTGGTTTTTCAGATGAAGAAAGTGAAGCTCAGAGATGTAAAGTGACCAGTTCAGTCCACAGGCCAGTAGCGGCCAGGGGTGGGGCTCAAGAATGGAACTAGGGGGTTCTATTTACCAAGGCGATCTGGTTGTTCAGCACTTGGAAGCTTCTGCCTTCGGAAGTCTGTTCACCTTACTGGTCCCTCTTGCACCAGAGAACGGGTCTTCTACAGTTGTGTGCTCTTTCCCCCACAGCCCTAAACTACCCATTTCCCAGGTTCCCTCTGGCTCCACCACAAGAAGAAGATGGTCGATGAAAAATTAGTTGACATCTTTGAAATCTCCAGGTCAATGTTCATGTATCCATGGCTGGAATATCCAGACAGGACCAAAGGTGAGGATGGAATGGGCAGGAACAGAGCCAGGTGCAGGGGTCTGTAAAAGCAAGGCTACCCAAGGCCAGGTATTTAGCACAGAGGCGCTACCACCTGCCTCGAAAGTGACAAGGTCCTGAATTCGATCCCTGGTACCAACTCTTGCCCTCCACCCCCGCCAAAGACGACAACAAGCAAGGCTACGTTGCTCCCAATCCCGGGCAACGGGCTGAGTACAGCAAATCCATAGGACAAGTCTTGGACACATTGATGGTATCCCACAGCCTTCAAGGTAAGTGTCTAGCTCCTCAGTAGGGCTTACAAGGTCCTCTGAAAGTTAGGACATCTATCTCCCACATCTGTACCCTGACCTGCACCCCAACTCTCATACCTCCAAGTCTTTGTATAGGATGTTCCCATGCCTAATGCTTTTTCCCCTTATCTGTATGGCTAACTCATGCTTGTAATGAGATTTGACTTGCATACTCTCTTTCTGAGAAAACTTCCCCCGTCCTCCCAGCCAGATTAGGTGCCTCTCTGGAATGCCATCTCTACCTCCCTCCATGTTTCCCTCTGTTGGTCACTAAGAAACATTCCTGTCTCATCAGCTAGACCACTGGTTCTCAAAATGGGGTCCCAGAAGCAGCAGCACCATCTTTGTTAGAAATGCAAATTATCAGAGCCTACTCCAAAGGTAGTGAATTAGATACTAAGGGGAATGAGTCCCAGAAATCTGTGCTTTAACAAGCTCTCCAGGTGATGCCACTGCACATTCAAGTTTGAGAAACTGAACAAGACTAATGGTTTTTACCCTTAGCTGAATATGTGAAACCTCTGGGGATCTTTTTAGCATGTCTAGGCCCCATCCCCACAGAATCTGATTCAATTAATCTGATGCAGGTCTTTATAAACAAAGTGCCCCCAAATGACTCTGATACGCAGGCAAGATTGAGAATACCCTGCTAGGCCTGAGTTGCTTAAACTTCAATTACATAGAATGACCTGGGGATCTTGTTCCAGTGAAGATCCTGGCTCAGTAGGTCTGAGGTGGAGCCTGAGACTCAGCCTTTCTGAGATACTCCCTGTGGTTCTACAGACCACAGCAGCGAGGCACTAGAAGACTATGAGATTCAACTTAAGGACCTTAACTTACCTCCCTGGTACTTGGTAAAATACCCAAGGTTAGTACTCAATGTTGAGTAGATGAATACCTCAATGAATGATTCTTTAACTGACCTTTGTATCTGCCATCTTAGTTGTATCACATACATACTCTTACCCTTCTTGCCAGAATTCAGAAAAGCCATGGCTCCTATTCACCTGCCTTTGTCCTGCTATAAGGTAAGACCTCTAATTTTTGCTACCCTGAGAACTATGTCAAAACAGGAGGGCCAACTCACAGCATCCTGACTTTCACCCCCAGAGGTGCCATTAACATTGTGTGAGCTTGGAGAAGTCACTCTCTCTAAGCCTCGGGAGCTGCCTCTGTCACAGGCCAGCCCCTGCCTACCCACCTTGTATGAGAAAGTCTGCAAAGCCAGGCCTAGGCAGGGAGTGCTTACTAACAGGGTTCAGATTTATTAGTTAACATGTAGATCCTCAGGCTTGCCAGATAAAATACAGTATTCGATAAATTTTAAATTTCAGATAAACAATGAGTGGAATTATATAGTATAAACATGTCCCAAATATTTCACTTGTTACCTAAGATCCAAATTTAACTCAATATCCCATTCCATTCTTTTGCTTGTTTTTTGCCGTATTTGGAAACCCTACTTTACCATGAGTCAATGCTTCACTTTCTGAAGTCATGGAAGTCACTTGAAAACTCTCAATATGATTTTTTTCAGTCACTAAGCTGGGAACCACTGGCTGAAACCCCGTCCCCTATTCCCCAGACAGATCAGTTATAAAGACAGGAAGGCTTGAAAAGAGAAAGGGATGGTTCTCAGCCAAATCTTCAGAAAAGGCTCCTGACACATCCAAAACCATCCACTATGTCAGAGTTGTAGAACACAGCTAAAAGCTGGGGATGTAGTTTAGAGGTAAAAAACATGCTTTGCCTGCCTGCATAAGGCACTGGGTTAGATCCCCAGCAACCACACACAAAAAAGTTATAGTTAAGAGATAGATTTGGAGAAAGTATGTTTTTCCAACTAACTTGCTAAGTTCACAAAGACAAGGGAGACAATTACATTCCTAGTACATAGAGCTTAGCATATGGTAGGTAATCAATAAATATCTGAATGAGCAATAGCCTGTCTCTTCCCCGCCTTTAATCTATAACTACCCCAGCCTTCCCATTCATTTCCCTGCTCAAATGTCCTTTTGAAAGTGCACCACGACCCTCAATGGGCCACACTGTGACTCAGATCAATGTATAGATCACTTCAAAATCTTTCTCTCTTCATATCCAAACTTGGGAGAGGAACAGAACAAGGATTATTAGCTCCGTTTAACAGATAAGAAGACTAGTAGAGTGAAGTAACTTCTTGCCCAAGTTACAGTACAGGTTACACGGTATCTGCGAGTTCGCCAGAATAAAGGCTTAAGGTGGTCTCACCCTGCCCGCTCAATCCTCCACTCCCCTTCGCCTGACTCCCAACACTCACCTCTGCCATTTGTACCCCCAGAAACCAAAGGAAGAGCTTCCTCCAAGTCCAGAGCGCTGGAGGCAGCACCCGAGCAAGCCCAACGCAGTCCCTTACTGCTACTCCAAGAAACCCGAGGTCTACACACACTGGCACACCCTGTATGACCAGCGAAAAGAAAGGGAGGCCCAGAAAACCTCACTGAAAAGGAGAGGCCATCCTAAGTATGCTCTATCCACCTCCATTATTCTCCACAACTTCTAGGAAAAGAGGAAGATCTAGGAGGGGTGGGCCAGGGCGAGCAATGTATCAGTCCACAGGTCCAAAGGAGGACCCCGGGGTAGAAGGGCAGCTTGGCTGGGGGTAGATACCCCTGAGCCCTCATGTCTCTCTCTGGGGCTGAGGCCCTGTGGCAAAGGTGGAGCAGTGACTGAGGGAAGCAAAAAGGGGACAGAGGCTTCTCCTGCAATTTCTCACACAGGAACCTCAAAGACAGTGCCCAAAAATTCCACCTCCCCATGAGCAAGTTGACTATAAAATCTCAGGTAGGATCTGGGCCCATAGAGCCTGACAGGGATCCTCTGAAGTGGCAAAGACTAAAGGTGAGGACCATGGTGGGAAGGGGAAAGAGGAGACTCCCTGCCTATGGGTGCCTTTACCGTTAACTTCACACCACCCTTCAGCTTTAGTCCCCCCCTGCAAAGCCTGGGCCAGGGGGTTGGGGATCAGATCAGCTGAGTTCCTTTCAGTTTGAAGTTTATTTTTCCTTTTTTCCTTCCTGGCTGCCTTGGATGGGTAGGAGCTCACAAAAGCCTTGAAATCTCCTAGAGAAGATGATCAGTTCTATGCAACACAGGTGAGAACCAGCAAAGGCAGAGAGGGGTGGTTACAGCTAGGAGTTAGCTCAGGCGAAAAGAACCTAGAAGCTAGAGCGGATGGTGGGAACAGGGGCCGTGTTCTAAATATAAACTCCAGCCGTGTCAAGATGGTAACTCCTGGGGGTCATGGCCACAGTCTCTCCCCTTTCCTTTACCCCTCTTTCTGCAGGCTCTGGGGTACCATGGCATCAATGACAAGTTTATTATGAAGGCACTATGGCAGGTGGTGAGTCTAGGGGCTGCATGGAGTTTAGGAAAGGTGCAGAGTCTGAGGTGTGTAGAGGGTGGGCACGTAGGCCCAAGAGAAGACTCTCCAGGGTACAGGACTGACAGGTCAGATCCAATGAGGAAAGAGCCACCAGCGCGTGACACATCCCCACCCCATGCCTTTGGCCAAAGAGCAGCTGGAAGATCCCCTTGGTCTAACAAAACACTCTGGGCTGAAAAGCCAGGAAAGAACTGAGCCTGAGTTAATTATCTTCAACTGAAACAACACTCCAGGCTTATAGGTCAATTTACAATTGGGAGCATATATTCTTATTGAGAATCTCACTTAAATCTTACAACACTGGGAAGTTAGTAGTGCCAGTATTTTTCTAAGAAAATAAAAGCTCTGAGAATCCAAGCCTAAGTGGCTATTAAATGCCAGAGAGAGATTCAAACAGAAGTCTAACTGCCGGGTTCAGTGTTCCTTCCACTGCACTAACCTGTCTGTCATGCATTTGAGTACAGACAGGTCACTTTCTAGATGTAGTCTTCTCTTTCACAAAATGCAAAGCTGAGAAAGGCCCTACAACTCTGACATTCTGTCACTTTGTTATGTTAAACCCCTTACTTTCTAAATCAGGCCCAAACTGGCCCAAAGAAAGTGAAGAATGAGGCCTATGAACCCTGGCTGTGCTGGGTGAGTATGCTGCCTCTCTGGGTGGGCAGCTGAGGGTGGTGCAGCCACCTTTGTGAAAGGGCAGGAGGAAATGCAAGGAGTGCCCACTCCAACCTAGCATTTGGCAGAGCCTAAGAATTATCGCAGGTACTGCGGGGTAGAGGAAGATGGGGCAAAAAGGGAGACAGAGATACAGACAGACAGAGACAGAAAAGGCCAGAGAGAGAGAGAGAAACTCCAGAAACTGTTCATGTTCAACCAGCTGCTCTGGTGTCCTGAGAGAACAGGCAACAGCCCAGAATGTAGTGCTTGGAACGTCTTAGAGTACAGTGGAGTTCAATGGATTTTTGTGGCTGTGTGTCACCTGATGACCCTGCTCTATCCAGGCTGCATGAATAAGCGTGTGGTCCATGCTCTCATCCAACAACTGAAGGAGGAAAGTAAGGTTCAAGGGATGGAAACTCTGACAAGGCTGCGAATGGCTCTGAACTCCTGGGCTTCTGACCCTGAAGACAAGGTGAGTGCAAGGAGTCTATAACTGCGGCAAGGCAGCTCAATGTAACTGACAGGTTTGGTTGCAGTCTTGGTCAGAAATAAGATAACCTAGCTCTCAGCTTTAACAGGAGACACTATCTTTGTCCGAGTTCTCTCTAGAATTGAAAAGATGCACATCGCTTGTGCTGCACAGACTAATCAGATAACCTCTGAAAACCCAGAAGCAGAGCCAGGTTTTTTCATCTTTATAATGGAGGCGGTAAATGTTTTGCAAAAGATTAAATGAGATGTTATCAGATGAGATAACATATCTAGAATAATGTCTGTTTTTTTACATGGTGGTCATCGTTATAATCTCTAAAATAACCTGTTGAAGCAACATTTGTCAAGAAGTAACAGGGACCAAGAGAGTTCTGACACTGTTTTCCTCCTTTAAGTTACTCCTCTGATTCTATCCCTGCTCCATCTGAACGAGAACCCATCATACATCCATTTATTCAGCAAATACATACTAATCAGCTAACATATGCCAGGTACTGTCACACATCAGAGAACCAAACAGGCAAACACCCCTGCCTTTGTAAAGCATGCATTCTATGGTGGCAAACACACAATAACCAATAAATTAACTAGAAAATTGTACCATGTGTCAGGGGTGCAATGGGGAAAATTAGGTAACAGTGGGAAAGTGACAAGAAGGGATGGTTTGCAACATAAGTATGGTAGACAGAGATCTCATTTTACTTTTTTTTATTGAGTTTATTGATACTTTTAAAGTATACAGTACAGTTACATTCATCATTGGGACCTTGTCTTTACATGATCAGGCAAACACCCCTGCCTTTGTAAAGCATGCATTCTATGGTGGCAAACACACAATAACCAATAAATTAACTAGAAAATTGTACCATGTGTCAGGGGTGCAATGGGGAAAATTAGGTAACAGTGGGAAAGTGACAAGAAGGGATGGTTTGCAACATAAGTATGGTAGACAGAGATCTCATTTTACTTTTTTTTATTGAGTTTATTGATACTTTTAAAGTATACAGTACAGTTACATTCATCATTGGGACCTTGTACCTTTACATGACAGATCTTGGTTCTCATTTTTTACCCATATCCCTGCCCTCCCTTCACCCCCTCCACCTCCCCTATTTACAAAGACTTTGTTTACATTTTTTCCTTTTCTCCTATTTTTTCTTTTCCCCTACCCTTCCCACTTCCCCTACACCTTTACAGAGATCTCATTTTAAAAGTGCACTTGTGGGCTAGAGTTTTAGCTCAGTGACACCATGCCTGCCTCGAAAGCCTAAGGACCTGACTGAGTTTGATCCCCAGTATCAGGGGGGAAAATGGTGCACTTGAACAAAGCTGTCTTCATTACTTTTCTCATTTCTGGGACAAAATACAGTTCAGTTCAGTTTGTATAGGTTTCTAGTCCTTAGTCAGCTGGCTCCAAGGCAAGGTAGCATGGAGAGGGGCTTCACACAAGAGAAACCGTTCATGGTGTAGGCAGAAGGCAGCAAAGCAACAAGCAACAAGCCTGACTTTCCGTTTTATTCCATCCAGGATACACCCACCCACACCCAGGGTATGCTTCTGTTTTCAGTAAATCCATTCATCCACACCCAGAACTATACTCACTCCAATCAGTGGACCAGTATAACACCCCCTAGATCCATCCATCCAGTCCAAACAGCCCTACCTATGAGCATATGAGGCTTTGAGGGGACATACAGATACAAGCCATAACAAAATCCATGAAGGTGAGAGAGTTAGCTTTACAGGTTTTTGAGAGAAAGGTATTCTGAGCCGAAGGACCAGTCAATACAAAGACAAGAGCATGCTTGGCATAGTCAGGGAACAGCAAGCAGGCCAAGCAAGCAAGCGTGGCAAGTGAGGCAGGAAGAGAAAGCAATAGAAGTGAAGGCCAGGTCAAAGAATTTAACAATAGACTAGAACACAGATGTGGCTTTGGGCTTTTATTCTGAGTGGAATAGGGAGCCTTTAGAAGTCTTTGAGCAAGCAGTAATGTGATCCAACTTAGGCCGAAGCCAAGGTTTCTGGCCTAGCAACTGAGAGGACATAATTGTCATCATGGTTGAGAAAACTGCAGGGAACCAAGTTTGGAGGTAACAGCCTAAGTTCAGTTTTGCACAAGTTATGTTTGACATGTCTTTTGGAATTCCAAGGGAGAGACAAAGTAACAATTTGGAGTTTGCAAGAGAAGCCTGAACTTGACGGAGAAATTTGGGAGTTGCTAGCATATAGCTAAGAGTGACACTAAACTAGATAAGATCACCAAGGAAAGACCAAGAATCTACTGTTGAGAGACATTCCAGTGTTAAGAGGTCAGGGAGAAAAGGAGGAACTGGTAACATGTGAGAAGTAGCCAATAAGACTGGAAGACAATCCCAAGTGTGTTGTTCGGAAAATCAAAGAACATATGTCAATAAAATACCATATCAAGGAGTATAAGAAATGAAAATTGACACGTGGCTTTAACAATATGGAAATCACTGATTATCTTAACAGAGCCATTTTAGCGGGGTGACGGGGCTTTAGACCTGATCAAAATGGGTGTAAGAGACTGGGCAGAAAAAAAGTAGAGATAGCAAAAATGGACAACTGAGTCTTACAGAAAAGGGCAACAGTTGCCACTGGAAGTGGAGTGTAGAAACAAAGAAAAATAATCATGTTTCTGTGCTAAGAGATAATGATCCAATAATTAGAAAAATGATTTTGATGAGAATGAGAAGAGCTGCTACAAAAACGTCCTTGAGTAGATGAGAGGGGATGAGATCTCTACAAGTGGAGAGACTGGCTTTAGATAGATGGGTATATAATTCATAACAAGTGAAAAAGAAGAAGTCAGAAGTAATAGGAGGTATCTAAGTAACTTATTTTCTAGTTGCTTGGTTTTTTTTGGTGAAAGAAAGCAAAGTTACCACCTGAGAGTAAACAAATAAAGAAGTTGTTAAGAGGCTCTGGAGGGAATGGGTATAAATCAAGAGAAGAGAAGAGACGGGAAAAACAGTACGATTAGCAAGAAGTACCAAGGATCTCCCTAAGGTTTGTGTACACAAATTTAAAGCAAGGTTAGTCATTGTGACTATGTGATTTTTCTCCATGAGGTGCAAGCACAGAGTAAATGGAGAGTTCTACTTAACCAGGCCTGTGGTTTGGCCAAGGGAGTACAATGAAGTAAGAGAGGTAAAGGAGGGTGAAGCAGGGGAATGATTATAATAGGACCATGGAATTTAAGCTGAGTAGAGGGAAGGCAGGGATCAGCGACGACGAGGTGGCAGTTTCCATGAATTGCTAGTCCTTTACGGAACTGAACAACTGGCACTAAGAGATGAGCTGGAGAAACAGGAGGTAAGATTCAGAGTGGGACCCATGAAATGGAGATTATGGAGACGTTGTAGTTGTAATGATGAGGTCATCCATTGGATTAGTGGCTGAGGTAGAGTGGAGGATAAAGTTTTTAAAAGTGAAGTGTTAGATCAATTATGTGTATATTTTTTAAAACACTAGAATTAAGATAGCAGAAATGTTAAAAGAAGTAACAGTGATCCGTCCATAAGATACAGTCACACAGAAATGAGAAATGATCTCAGAGCAAGTAGGTGACAGCTCAAACAAGGGGACATGGGTGAAATAATAACGGGATGGCATGAGATTTAGCAAGGAGAATGGTCTGAAGCGGTGATGAAATGCGTTCTAATAAAGCATGAAGCCTGGCTGAAAACACAGCCCGTTGGACCCACTGTCTCCCTCAGAGGACTCAAGTCAGGAATGAAGAAGAGCTGGTCCTTGTGCTGCAGACACTGATGAAGTCGTCCTCAGGTGAAGCAGCCCTCGAAGCAGCCCTGTGCTTGGGTTTCCTGAGGCCTTGTAGCAACATGGCCCAAGAGTTCTTACTGCAGTGCCTGTGCCAAGGGACCAAGACCCAGCAGATGAAGGTGTGAGGGGCAGGAGGCTGGGCTCCCTAGGGCACAAAGGCCAGTGCTGATTTACATGGGATTTGGATACTGGCATCCTTGTCCCAAAGAAAATAAGCCTTGGCTGGGAGCGGAGCAGGGTCCTCTGCGAGCTTAGAATATGCATGAGTATGAGGTTATATGGACAAGTGGGTGAGCATGTGTCTGTGTACACTTCATATGTGTAAAGGTTAATTTATGTACGTGTGCACACACAAACTTGTTTTCATTTAAGGCCACGAGGCAGAAAAAGGACCTCACCCATTCCCCACAGGTCTATGTCCAGCTCCCAAGTCCACCTGGCCTCCGGATGCCTCTAAGTATACACCTGTACACCCTGCCCCACCTCACCCCTCACAGGCACTTAGGATGTTGGTCAAGATCATGCATGTGCACTCTGCTGTAGTCACCAGGGCCATTCTGGCCCAGCTATGTTCTTCTAGTGTCATTGAGGTAAGCTCTGGACTGCCTAGTATTCTTCCTTCCTCGATACTAGGACACAGTTGGAGCATGAGAAAGGGGACCTATTTTTCACATTTCCTCCCAACCAGGACCGCTTTGAAGCCACTCAGATGCTCAGGACCATTGGGCTGGAACAGATCAAGGCACAGGGGCTAGAGAAACTCACATTTGACCTGCTCAAGTGGAAGACACACTATGAACCTTTCTTTGTGAGACCATAGCTCCCAAGCTCAGGAAGCCCAAGCTGTCCTTGTCCTCTCCCTTCTCTGGAGACCCTGACTCCTACCATAGCACCCCACAGTATCACACTCACCTTAACCTACTCCCTGTTCCCCCAGTGTAGCCCATGTCTTTAAGCCACCTTGCCTTCACTCACGCCCTTCTATTTAAAATACTTCAAGTTATTTATACTCCTCATTCTTCTGTAGGATAAAAACTGACTCAAAGGATTCACCCCCTCTCCTATTAAAATGCTATTTTTCTCCTTCAAGACCTGCCCAAATGACATCTGCTATAAGCTTTCCCAAATTGCCAATCAGACTCAACCTGGCCTTCCTCCATGCTTATTTTTATCTTTACTATAGCTTGCTACAGAACCATACACTTCTATAGACATTTTTCTAAAATGTAAATCAGATTCTCATCTTCGAAAAAAACTTCAGTGGCTCACAGTGTCCTCAGGATTGCTTAGTTTGCCTGGCAACTTAAGCCCTGCCTAGTTCTAGCTTCACCTGCACCACTGCCCCTCAGAGCTGTACACCAGCTATGCTTACAATGACCAAGTCCTGATTTGCACCTGCTATCTCAATGTTAATTATTCAGAGTGCTGCTAAGAATCTCCCTATTTTTGGCTTCTTATCCTCCTCACACTTTCTCTTAACTCCAATTTTGTCCATGCTCTCCCCTCTGTCCAGAAAACTTGCTCCTAAACACACACACACACACACACACACACACACACACACACACCCTTCCGCTGCTTAACTCTCTCACCCTGCAAATTTCAGCTGAGGCATTATTTCTTTCTCAAGGAAAGCTTATTACCCAGAATGAGTCAGAAAATCTTCCTATATGCACCCTATATCATGCTGATTGCCTATTTGTCTGTTTCCTCCATCAGACTATGAGCTCCTCAAAGTAGCGACCCTATTCAGAGTTTAATAAAGGTTTGTGAGGTACTCAGATGCCTCTGCATTTCTTCTCTGTTGTCCCACTCTGCTCCCTCTACAGGCTATGAGGCAAGCTGTGGCTGAAACTGTGGAAGAGCTCAAGATGAAGCCAATGATGATGAACTTGGTAGAGGCGTAAGTGGACTGGGCTAGGAGCTGCCAAATCCTAGGCCGGGGAAGGGAGCAGAAGAGTTGGGTGAGAACCTTGCTGCTGGAGCAGTTGCTCTTTGACCCCTGGGTTTTTGTTCATCTGATAAAGAGAGTTAATCACATTATTCAGGGTTGCTATAAAAGTCAAATTAATATAACCTGAAAGGAACTTTTCAAAGGTAAAGCTCTGGACAGATGAGTCCTGATCATTTAGTGCTTTGTGGCAAAGTACAGTACCTATTTTTTCCCTCCCATTCCCTTTCCTTACCTGAGAAAGACAGGGAAATGAAAGTTAACATTCGTATCAGCATTAGGCCCAACTCACTGTAGGACTGAAAAGCATCCTTCCCTGCTTAACTGGACAACACACTTTTACTCTCTCTGCAGGCAATTAATGAACCCAGATGCCACTGCTCGACAGCAAGCAACTGTCTCTTTGGTAAGGCAGACTGTGCTTCTCTGACTCAATTCCTGATATTTTGATGGCAGGGGGAATAATTAAATGAAGTCACAGAGGGAGGAAAGGGTTGAAAAGTTGGGGTAGGTTCATTTCAGAATTCTAGCTCTATCAAGCGTTCAGGATGCCAGAGATTTAGCTCAGTGATTTCACCGCCTGCCTTCCAAGTGCAAGGGCCCCAGTTCAATCCCGGTAAAAAGGGGAAAAAAAAAAAAGTTCAGGGTAACCTGTTCCTGCTTGGGGATGGGTGAGGTAAAACTTCAGGAGATGGATGTGAAGGTATTATTAATGCAGAAATTGTCTTGACTCTTTTGGATAAATAGGAACTGAAATCCATGTAGTGGCCTCAACTGGCAAGGAAAAAGTATCTCAGCTGGGAAACTCCTCCTCCTCTAGGCCACAAGGTCTTCCAAAGAGATCAGAATGGGGAAAAGGATGGGGCATCTTCCTGGGGCTGGCTACTTAGGCAGGTCACTCTACCTCCGCCAGGGTGTCCTGGGGATCCGGAGCCCACAAGTATTCCATCTGCTCCTGGACATGCTAGATGCAGAGGAGAACCAGGCTGTGAAGAAAAGTGTAAGGCCCTCCTGCCCTTTATTCCTCTTCTCTGTCCCTCCTTCCAATCTCTCCTTCCTATCGCCATGTGTTCCTGTCAGAAGGGAAATTGAAGTCCTCAGACAGTGTCCCTTGACCTGCTTTCCTTCCCTTGGGTGCCCCTATCCCTCCCAGTTTAATCCCAAAGTGAAAAAGCCCCAGGACCTTTGTTTCAACGCAGCTACAAGAAACATTAATCATTTGGGCCTCAACTCATCCCTGGATCCAAAAGAAGCTAAAGAACAAAGTTTTCTTTGTCTATGAAGCACCTAAAACCAAAATGAAGACAGAGCCTACACGGTTCCAGAAGGACCCTGAGAACATAGAAGAGTTAAATATCCAAGACTTTCAACTCACTAAGTTGAACCCTCTGTTTGTTACAAAGGCCTGCACCAAGGTAGATGAAAAGAAAAAGTTTCCTGACTTCCCATCCCATCTCTCTAAACCACAAAAACAAAAGCCAAAGACCACAGGGCCCTGGCAGCCAAAGATCAGGCAACAGCTCTGGGCCCTTGCTGAAATCTATAAATAGGTCAGCTCTTTGGGCCTGCTTTCCTCCTGAGGGTAGTTCTCATGGTACTGAGGAAATAATCCACACGTACCTTTCATGAATAAATGAGTGTCACAATACCTACAACCTCTCTCTGAGTCACTACTACTCTTCCTGAGAAGGTACACCAGAACCCAGGTCTCCTGGCTCCTGGATGGGTGTTCTTTTCACATAGTCACATGTCCTTGCATCAGAGGAAAGAAGGAAAAGAGAGCCAAAGCTTCCCTGGAAGGTCAGCCTATCTCCCTAAATCAAGTCCTTGTCTGAGCCCAGAATTTGATGAAAAAACTAAGCAGATGATCCTGTCTAGAAGCAGCTGCTGACAGGAAAAAAGGGGGGAAATGTTGGGAAGCTTGGTTGCTGGACCATTTCTTATTAACTTGACACCCGCACACACACACACACACACACACACACACACACACACACACACACACACACACATACACACCCCTATCCACCTCTCTATGGTCATCAGGAGATAATTTAGCTGCGAGCAGAGGCAAATAACTTTTCTACTGTATCTGCTACCTCGGTGCCTGCTCTACTCTACCTACCTCAGGGTCATTCCCTTTAAGAGATCCGATATACAATGCAAAGTGACATTTCAGTTTCCCTTCACTAACAGGACTGACAACCCCAATCCCAACAAGCTATAACCCTCCCGATCAAGAAAAGCCCTGGAGGAGAAGGATGCCTCAGATGAAACTTGCAGGGCGAGAGTTAACCAGCTAGGAGTAGCACCATGTGCCCATAAGCTCAGCCTCTAGGGAGGACAAGTCAGAAGAGCCTCAAGTTCCAGTCCAACCTAGGCATTTTAGGTGAGAACTGTCTCAAAATACAAATTAAGGGGTGTGGGTGTAGTTCATTGGTAAAGCACCTGCCTAGCATGCACAAGGCCCCAGTATCCTCAGTAACTGTTGGGGAAGAGAAGGGGAGACACATGACCAAACCCAGACTTTGAAGTCAGACTAGCTAATCCTAGTGTTTATCACTTATCTGATCTTTGACTTTGGCAAGTTAAAACTTCTCTGGTAAGTGTTTCACTACCTATAAATAAAATAATACCTACTACCTCAAAGTGCTCCTATAAAGATTAATAAAAAGCCTATCAGTGCCTGGCACTACATGGTAAACATTCAAACAGCAACATTTTTTTCTCTTTCTTCAATTTTGTCACGAGCCCTAATAACCAGAAGTCTAAAAAAGATTGTCTTCCACTATCCTCATCTACTCTCCTAATCATATTGGAGTTTTCCCATCAGGAGAAAGGTCAAATGGGCCCTCCCTTCCATTCATCACACCCCAGGTCTGAGCGCTTTACGTTCTTAATTCAGTGTAGTACACTGTTCAGATATATCTCCCAACCTGCCCTTTCTAAATTCGTGTTCTGCCTCCGAGTTTTAAGTAAAAAGTGGAAACATGGTTTCACTATCTTGGAATATAAACAGAAATGCCTGATGACTTCTCTGATAATGTGACTCAAGGTCCAATGACAGCAAAGACATTTATTTCCTCTCTTGCCTACTCTGCAGCTTTGGGTCCATGTATAATATACTCATATTTCCCTGAGCCTCAACATCAATAGGTACAAGAAGCACTGCCTTAACTATTTTATAGCTTTTCAATTTCTGCAAACTTTTGCCTACAGAAGGGCCAGGGTTTCTACCATCTAAATATACATTTTTAAAAATCCATCCATCTGTTAATGAAAATATAGGGCCTTTCCAAGATTTAACTATTGTGAGTTGTGCTGCTATACACATGGGTGTGTGTGTGTGTGTGTATATATATGTATGTATATATATGTATATATACATACATATATATGTATGTATATATATATGTATATATGTATGTATTTTGCCTTCAGATCTCCAATCCCCCAGAATACACACGCACGCACACACATACACACAAGCCAGTCTATATTTCTGGGTGTCTCCAGAGGGCATCTTATTAACTCCGCCAGATACCACCTCTAGTATCACATCAATTTCTAATTTCACCAATCCTCACCAGATTTAAGACAGCAACAAGCATAAACTTCATCACAATCAGCCATCTGGTCCACCAATGTACCAGTACTGTCCCAGAACCAAAGCATTCTAAATCAAACTCTTAAAAGCAGGCTTAATCCAAGCAATGGCCAACTTCTATGAATCCCAAGATGTCCACTCAACTCAACCCATCATGATCTTCGGAACTGGCCCTTGAACAGGATCCAAAATATAAGTCCCTCTTTTTTCTTTCCTCTGTTTCAAATCCTTCAAAGGCTACCTCCGAATGCTCCTTCTGATGGCCAAAGCTATTGTTTTGCATCTTTAGGTAAGTATCAGTGTCCAAGGGTGCTGTTCTTTAACCAGCCATACTACTCTAATCCACTTCCCCATTCCCTCATTCAATGCTCGGCCCTCAGTCTTTGCATTGCCCTCTGCACAGCCATCTAATACGCCAGCCCCTCAAATCCTTTATCTCAACTTCAGCAATCTACTTCCAGTCACTCCCAACATCCCTAAGAGCTGCTTCATCTCTGAAAATCTTAAACATCCTTTTATACCTAAACCTTCTAGCTGTCTGGTTCTTATTATACTCACTATAAAATCTTTCAACTAAGTTTTTTACTTCTGTACAATTTTATTATTCCCTCTTTTTCGCTTCCTACTCAGCCTGTCCCCTATCCACCAAATGGTATCGTATCTCTGCAATGACTCTACCCTAAATGGGTACAGCGGCTTGTGCCTGTAATCCCAGCATTTTTGGAAGCTGAAGATCACATGTTCAAGCTCGGTCTGGGCAATTTAGTGACTCAGCAATACATTGTTGGTTAAGGGGGTGGGGGTGCTTTGAGGATGTAGCTCAGTGAAAAGGCCCTGAGTTCAAATTTCTAATACCGGGGGGAAAAAAATCCAAAACAGCAAAAAAAATCCTACCCTTAACCAAATTACCTTTGTTCCTGTAACCATATTGCTGATCAAAGCTTAAGTAACCTATCCATACCTGCCTTCCTCCCTGAATATTCCCTCTTACCTTACCTGAGCTTACAGTAGGTAAGAGCACAGTATCTAAAGCCAAACAATTGGGTTAGAAGCCCAGCTCTATCACGTACTGGAGATGTGATCTTGGGGCAAGTTGCATACCTTCAATGCCTCTGCTCCTCACAGTACCCTCTGGAAATCCCCCTCCTAAAGATAAATCTAAATCATTTACTCCATCCATCCTTCTGTGAATTGTTCTCTATACTTTCTAACCTCATAGGATTGTCGAGTTTAAACAGGTTAATAAGACAGCCTGCTTATAGCGTTACCGCGAAGTAAACTGTTAGTCATTTGCTACTGTACCTATCCTTACCTCTAATTACTTTTTTTTTTTTTTTTTTGATTTTTTGAGACAAGGTCTCACTATGTAGTTGAGACTGACCTGGAACTCACTATGTAGTCCAGGCTGGCCTCAAACTCATAGCAATCCTCCCACCTCAGCCTCCCCGAATATGCTGGGATTACAGGTGTGCGCCACCACGCCTGGCTTCTAATTACTTTCTTTCAAGGTAAATCTACAGGTATTCCATATGCCATTCCTTCAAGAAGTCTGACCATGGGTCATCTCCATTTCCTTCTGAGCAGTATATACACACTCAATTCCCACCTACATTAAAGATAACTGCCCATACCCTGTCTAGCTGCTGCTTCCTCTCACATCACCTGATTGCTAATCACCCTTCATAATTAAAATCCTTGGGCTGGGGGTTTAGCTCAGTGGTCCCACCACCTGCCTCACAAGCACAAGGTCCTTAGTCCTGAGCGATCCCTGATACCAAAAAGAAAGAAAAGGCCTAAGATCCTTAAACAATTATCCACAGTACCTATCTCTCTCTCCAATTTCTATTATTCATTATTTCATTTTAGTCTGGGTTCAGAATTGAAATCTACAGCAAAACTGCTTTTATTTGGGTACCAGGGATTGAACTCTGGGTCTTGGGCTTACAAGGGAGACAGCAGAACTACTGAGCCGAATCCCTGACCCCTAAAACTGCTTTTACTAAAGTGGTGTTCAACGAAAGGCTGGCTCTACCCCTTTCCCCATAGGTGATGTCTGGCAATATCTGCAGACATTTCTGGTTGTCACAATGTGGGATAGTAGGTGCTAACTGGCACCTCATGGGTAGATCAGAGATGGGGTTAAATCTCCTACAATGCAGAAGGTAGCTTCCCACAAATAACCACACCAAATGTCAACAGTACCAAGGATGAAAAACCCTGAACTAAAGTAATTTACAACTTCCATACTGTTACATGTAATTAATGCTTTCTATCCTTTACAGGAGTTGGCCTGATTTAAGCACTTGATTTCATTAGCTTTCCCTTCTTAAAATCCACTCTTCCTTTGGGTTCCACTGACATCTCTGGTTATTGATGTTTTTTTGTTTTTGGTTTTTTTGAGACAGAATTTCACTATGTAGTTGAGACCGACCTAGAACTCACTATGTAGCCCAGGCTGGTCTCGAACTCAGTGATCCTCCTGCCTCAGCCTCCTGCGTGCTGGGATTATAGGCGTGTGCCACCAGGCCCAGCTGCTCAACTTTTAAGTACAGTACAATGAGTTACAATGGATCTCGAGTTCAAAATTGGGTTACAATCAGAATTTTTAATTTTAACTTAAACGACAAAAGTCTTGAGTTAATAACCCAGTGTTTAGTTCTGAAAAGGTAGACCTTGTAGGCCAGAAGCAGGTCCTAGTGGCCTACACACTCTTCCAAGGAGAGAAGACACCAGAGCCAGAATCCTGATGATCTTAAGGAAGGAGACTCTCCTTCCAAACAATAACCACCTTCCATTTCATCCTCCCTGCAAGTCAAAGATAACAGTATGAAATTGTTTCTCATAAACTAGGCACATTTTACAACTTTTTACCGAATACACCAGGAAAGTTATTGGTGTTTCTGGTAAATTATGTATTTTAACCTTTTATTATGAAAAGGTTAAGGGGTGCTTTGGGCAGATAGAACTGCATTATGGGTATTTCCATTAGTTCTTATGGGAAAAACTCTTGACTTACAGCCAGCTTGAGTTACTACCAGCCCTCGAGAATGAACTGAGTTCATTAAGTCAAGGGTCCACTGGATCAGCATCTCTCAAAATTCTGGCCCAAGCTACTCTCCCATAACTCTCAAAACTATAAGCACTCATGATTTTTTAAAATGCCCAGGCCTCATTTACAGATGTTTTGGGAGCAGAATCCAGACATCTTTCTGTTTCGTAAAACATCCTGAGTCTCATAAAGATAAAAGAAATACTCATGGATGGAGAACCATTGATCTAGGCAGTTTTATTTTAAAAATATTCATTCTCATCAATTCCCATTTATATTTTGATAATTCTCAAAATCTGTATCTGTAACATTCATTCATTTAATGTTAATTTTCAGTGAGTCCCTAACTCTATGCCTAATATTGTTCCAGTCCAGGCACTGGGGTGAAACAGTAAACACAGTTAAGGTTCCATACTCTGCTCAAGCTTATAGCCTAATGGAGGAAAATGAAATTTAAAAACATAAGACAGGCCGGGGATTTGGCTCAGTGGTCCCACCACCTGCCTTGCAAGTGCAAGGGCCTGAATTCGATCCCCAGTACCAAAAATCAATCAATCAAATCAAATAAAAAAACACAAGCAGCCAAGTGGAGTGGCACATGCCATCAACTCAGGAGGCTGAGGCAGAAGAATTGGCCTGAGTAATAGACCTGTGTTAAGGGAGGGTGGAGGGCAAAAGTCATGGAAAATGGAAAAATAAAAAATCAGGTTAGGTGTAGTAGTATGTCAGAAACTAGATTCCTCCTACCCCACTAATATTGCCATCCAACTAAATCTTGCAAACTTACCTCCTCATTTCTCGGGTCTATCAGGTATGTCCTACTGAGTTCAGGCCAATATACTCTCTCACCTAGCTTAGCATTCTATGTTCAGGCCAGCCTTCCCATAAGGCAGCATCATTTCAGCTGATACTATTTGTTTTGTTTTGTTAATTTTTTTCCCACCATTTATGTTTTAATGACTCCCTGTTTGGAGGCAGGTGAAACATGTAATGTAAGACCTTGGTCATAGAGTTTACCTCCTCAGTCTTGCCCTTAAACTCTTCCCACACAGCCTGCTCCCAATTCTCCATTAACTCCTAACTCAAGTTGTTAGTTTCCTGCTGGGAACACCACTTCCTCACCCAAGTCTGCGTATCCGGCCAATTTCTACTCTTCCCCCTCAAGATTCACCACACACCTTGTCCTGGTCCCACATGACTGTATTAAGTGTGCAAATCAACTCTCCTAAAACCTTGTACTTATGCTTATCAGAGCACTTATCAAACTGTGTTATCTACTTGAGAAGCATATAGCCAGTGTCTAATCCAGTGCATTGCTACAGTAAAGGTAGGATAAGAAGTTCTTTAATGAAGCCAGGCAAGGTAGAGCATACCTGTAATCCTAGCACTCAGGAAGTGGAGGCAGAAGGATTGTGAGTGCAAGGCCAGCCTGGGATATATAGGCTGCAAGGTCAGTTTGAGCTACACAGAAAGCCCGTCTCCAAAAAAAAGAGTTCCTGAAAGAACATCACACATACATGTATACGGAAAATTTAACTCTAGTTTGCTGAACCCTTCTTACTATCAACCTTCAAACTCCATATTCCCAGCATCTACATAGAACACTACTTTAAATAAATGTTTCTCAACTATAAACTGGCATTAAACAGACTATATAAACATCTAATAAGCTTTATCTAAATAAATATTCCCAGGGCTGGGAATTTAGCTCAGTGGTGCTGCCACCTGACTTGCAAACTCAAGGTCCCATGTTTAATCCCTGGTTCCAATAAATAAAGATATTCCCGGAAGTAACTCTCTTCACCTCACCAAGTAATGATCCAGCAGACTTGGACTGTGGCCCAAGAATCCATAATTTTAACAAACATCTCAGAAAATTCCAATTTGCAATATTATTCTGAACAAAGTAGAACTCAATAAATGTTGTTGAAAGTAGTATTTTAATTTACTGAAGCAGAATTCACTTCCTAATTCTTTAGGGTTAGAGTCTGCTATAACTGGTGCCTGAGTGTGACAGAAAAATGCACTAATGTACAAAAGTCCACAAAAACAAGCAACCTTTATTGCAGTATTACAAAACACTTTCCATTTTGGCAATATTTTACAATGCACTTTGCTTCAAGGGTTGGGAAGGACAAGGTTGGAAATTAAAAAGGGAAATTTCAACATTTCTAAAAGAAAAACTGTCCCAGCCCTCCCACCCAAATAAAAATCCAAATGTCACTTAATTTCACTACCCAAGAAGAGGCCACAAGGAAAGCAGCAGGCAAAACTCTGGCAATTTCAATGTGGATCATGTCAGAGACAAAGGAACATTCAAAACAGTCATCAGTATGGTCGGTTGCGCTGATCATTTCTATAATCATTTCTAGGAATGAAAAATAAAGAGCCAGACTAAATTCTAATTTTCTATCGAGGGAACATCAAACACTTCAGGGTGCTGGTGACTGACAAGAACTAGACAATTTCTTTTCTTTTTTCTTTCTTTTCTTTTCTTTTTTTTTGGTTTTTTGAGACAGGGTCTCACTGTAGTTGAGATTATCTGGAACTCACTATGTAGCCCAGGCTGGTCTCGAACTCACAGCGATCCTCCTGCCTCAGCCTCCCGAGCGCTGGGATTACAGGCATGTGCCACCACGCCCAGCTAAGAACTAGACAATTTCTGAAAGAATGACAACATACCTAATTTATTTCTATGTCCTTAGAATATAAATATTTAACTTACCAGGTTTGTCAGAGTTCCTAGAAGAAGCTTTGCTATAACTTTAGGAACTTTCCACCCAGAAAAAGAACTCCAAACCACTATAATATTTCCGATTAGAGATTATGCCAAGTCTAAATTCCAAAGAGAAGAGCGGCAATGGGAAATTCATGTTTGAATTCTGGATATGCCACTTTATTATGTAACCTTGGAAAAGTTACTTCACGACTTCATAAAATGGAAGGTACATCTACCTCCATAGAAGACAAAAGGACTAGTACTGAAGTATATAAAGACATCTGCCACACAGTAAGATTTAACAAACAGTAACTAAGCTACTAATAATCATCAATAGCTAACAATTATCCCACAACTGTTATACTCTTATACAATTCTGTAACAGAGGTATTATTAGCCCCCTTGAATAGCCGAGACTAGAGATAATCTAAAGGGTTAAGGAACTTGCCTAAAGTCACATAGCTAGTTAAGTGGGTGAGAGAACCCAGACTCTCCCAACTCCCGTGTTCCTAACTAAAAACTGTATTAATTCTCATTGCCCTGAACTGTCTCTGGTATACAGATCCTCAGTATAGTAAGCAAAGTTACTCTACATCACTGGCTCTTCAATTTGTTCTAACTCTGCACCACCATCAGTGATTTTCATCTCTAACAGGTACAAGAATCTCCAGAAAAACTGCAGGGTTACAATTATAATTTTATTTGGGGGAGGTGGGAATGTAGAGACAGGGTCTCATTAGATGGCCCAGGTTAGGCTCAAATTCTCAATCCTCCTACTTTAGGTCCCCCAGTACTGGGATTATAGGCATTTGCCATTACACCTGGTTTAGACCATTTGATTTAAAAAGAACACACTTATAAATAGTGTGCTCTCCCCTTACTTAAATCAAAACACACTTAGGCCAAAGATTTAGCTCTGTGCTGCCACCTGCCTTGAAAGTGCAAGGTCCTTGAGTTCGATCTCTGGTACCCAAAAGAGCAACAACGAAAAAAGAATATTTGACATAACTGTTTCAAGTTATCTGTTCATCTCAGTTAACTTTAACAATGATAAAACAGTAATATACACATATCCAGACAAATACAAAGATTTATGAGTAAACAAATTTTAGACTGCTAAGTAGGAAACTAAATGGAGAGTTGTCAACAAGAAATCTAACTTACAAAAAGTTAGATAAAAAATGAAAATGTAGCCAGGCTTGTACATGCCTGTAAACCCAACACTCAGAAGTCTGAGGCAGGAGGTTCCTGAGTTCAAAGCCAGTCTGGGCTATATAGTGAGACCTTGTCAAAAAACAAACCAACCAACCAACCAAAGAGCTCAAAGCCTAAAATCTGTATCAGTGAGGCAGAAAAGGTTACAAGTACATTTTATACTCACCTGCCACCCATTTTGCCTCCATAGCCACCTCGGTCTCCTCCATAGCCTCCACTTCTGTCTCCTCCATAGCCTCCACTTCGGTCTCCACCATAGCCTCCACTGCCGCCACCACCACGGTCTCCTCCATAGCCCCCTCGACTTCGGTCTCCTCCATAGCCTCCTCGGTCTCCTCCATAGCCTCCTCGGTCTCCACCATACCCCCCTCGGTCTCCACCATAGCCTCCTCGGTCTCCACCATAGCCTCCTCGGTCTCCTCCATAGCCTCCTCGATCTCCACCATAGCCACCTCGATCTCCACCATAGCCACCTCCTCGGTCCCCACCATAGCCGCCACTTCTGTCTCCACCATAGCCACCCCCACTTCTATCTCCACCATAACCACTTCTGTCTCCACCATAGCCGCCTCGATCTCCACCTCTGCCCCCTCGACCTCTGTAGCCCCTCTCTCCACCGTAGCCTCTCCCCCGGAAATCTGCAAAGTAGAAATGCAAACCAATGAGACCAGCAGAATGATGTGAAGCCTCTTTTTTAACAATGGTCAGAAGAAACATGTAGTTGGCATTAAAGAGCTGCCTACCTCCTCCTGAGGGACGAGAGTCCTCTGGTCTAGGCTCATTGCACTGATTACAGGAATTTCTTCGAGCAAAGTTCATATTTCCACATGATCTGAGAAAGGAGAGAAACAAAATGCTCCTAGATTGTTTCTAATGGATTCAAAACCTCTTTTTGCACTCTTCATCCCCAACCCAACCCCAACTTCTATTCCCACCAAAGAATTATTATATTAATTATATTAAATATAATACTTACGGATTAGGGCAAACCCAGTCCCCGTTTTTGGGGTCTCCACCTCTCCCCTGAAAGCCTCCACGGCCTCTATAGCCTCCACGGCCTGGGAAGGATTGGGTAAAGAGAAAAATCAATAGCAGGCATTATTACAAAAAGCACCAGATAAAAGAAATAATAGCAAGTATAATTAATGCCTGGGTAGCCCCCTCAAAATTAACCCTTACAATAGAATTCTGTAAGTCTTTGATACTTAAATTCAAAAAATGTAAGACCAGATACACAGTACAGTGTAAATAATGCACTAAAAACACTTTAAAGTGTACTTTCTACGTTATCTTACGTAAGAGTCTTAGTGATAAAAGAAGATAAATTCCAAATTTTGAGGAGATGGGTCCAACAGAAATAAAGAAGCTTAAGAATCAAGGAGCTTAAGAACTGATTAGATAAACTACTCAGTTATCACTTGAACTGTTCATGATTTCCACATGAACAACAAACTGCTATACAGCTTTCCAAAGAGATTTCTATAACCTTCTTCCACTACTTTCTCAATTACTAGGACACCTCATTTACCTCATCTATTTAATACCCACCCTCACTTTAACATAAAAGGAAAAAGTCCTAGGGAAAGGGATAATAGCAAATTCATGCAAACAGAAACAAAACACAACCTCAAATTCAAACCCTGTGTATAGTATCCATGCCTGTGAGTATCTCACCTCGACGCCCACCCCCACTTCCACTTCCTCTCATGAATTCAGGTCTTCGAGTGGCAAAGGACACTTTAATGATGTTGCCATGGAATTCTTTTCCTGAGCAAAAAGAAAATGATTTTGAAGAAAGGTTACTCACACACCTCCACCTCCCAACAAAAACATAAAACTATCTTAGGAATTTTTAGTTTCACTGGAATAATTGAAGTCCTCATAAAAATTCAAATACATTAGTGCTCCAAAGAGTCAAGGTAATAGTGCTAAAAGTGTGATACACAACCAACTGAACAAAGCAGATGTCACTTTTACTAGACTAAAAATAAAGACAAAATACACACATACACAAACCCACACCTAATATTGTACGTGAAAAGTCAACTGAGAAACCATATATGAAGTCACCATTTGTTTAAGGAAATGTGTGTGCACACACATGTATCTACACATTCACACATATGCTTGCATATGCACTGCCCAATATGTGCTTGCTTACCTACCAGGAGGACAAATAAGATCATGGTGGTGGGTGTGGGTGTGGGTGTGGGTGTGTGGGTGTGGGTGTGTGTGTGTCACGGTGGAAAAGAAACTGCATATTGTGTATTCCTCGTACCATTGAAATTTTACCTGTGCACATTTTATATTTAAAAACAATGTGTGGGGCTGGGAATGTAGCTCAACAGCACAGCACTTGCCTGGCAAGCTCAAGGCCCTGAGTTTGATTCCCAGTACCAAAAACTAAATAAATGTTTTTTAAAAATGTGTGTATACGCAATTACTTATATACACACACACATATTCTGCTGTCCTAAGGTCTTAGGGATAAGAATTAGTCTTTCTGCTTGATACTAAATAGGAGAATTTTATATAAAAGAACCCAAGGATTCATAAAATGGGTATAAATTCATGAGCCTTCACTCCCTGAAGAAAGCCCTCATCACTCTGGCAACTTCCCAAAATATTAGTTGGTATGACAAGTACTCTGACATAAGAACCAACTCACAGATCAGTATTCTAAAAATCATAATCCCTGGTTTAAAAAAAATAAAGAATAGAGATGGGAGACAGAATCATGATCCCTATGAAGAAACACATTTATTTATATTTTGGAAGGTATAGGGTATAATCTCATAAATGGAAGGGACTTCAAGTGTCTGTTGATCCAGTATGGTTAAATATTGCCTGAGTGAATCCTGACTGCCACTTTCTCTATGATCTTAGAAATTACTTCACTTCTCTGCACCTCACTTTCATCACATATAAAACAGGAACAGGGTACAAGTCTCATGGGGTTACTCTGAGAATTAACACATTCACAATTGGGCCACAATTCTGTGCCTCACTGCCAGGCAGCTTACACTACTGGTGGTACACATATGACTGTCCTGTTGGGTGGCTTTTTATTAATTTTAGTAGTAAAAAGACTGATACAAGGTCTAGAGTTTAGTCCCCGGTACCACAAAAAAAAAAAAAAAAAAAAAAAATAACGTGAATAAACACATGTTACCACAA